GAGGAGGATAATATAGAACTTGTCGCAATGGTGGTTGACAGCCATCCCAGTACTAAAAATGAGGAATAGACAGAAATTTAGCCAACCAAAAACCCATGTCTGTGAGAGGCATGGTATTATCTAAACAAATATATCAGTTGAAAATAAATGGCTTCCTCTTATGTATTTCATAAACTTTATAAATAAAGTGTGTCACCCTCACTTTATTGAAAAAAAGTGGATGGGAATAGTTATAAAATGCAATTCTCTTAACATAAGACAAAGTATGATGGTACCCACATCGTGGGTTAAAATCATAGGTGGGTTGAAAAAAGAGGAGATGAGTCGGGGGATAAACCTTCCAAGTTAACCTTGACCCAACGTATCTACAAAAAATCCTTAAATTGTTCAACAGATTACCATTGAAACTGTTTCTTTCGTGAATATCATTCAGATAGTCAATTATTTGATTATGCAGTTCAACAAGTGATCTACTTAGTCTGAGAACTTTGTCCTCATAGAACTCCCATATTCCTTCAGGTGTCTGAATGTGATTAGTAAGCCAGTCATCAAACATCTGTACAGATGAAAAAATTAAAAGAAAAAAATTATTTGAAAAAAAATTAATTGAAAAAAAATTAATTGAAAAAAAAATTATTTGCAAAAAAAAATTGTTAGTCAAATTTTTAAATTTCTGTTTGAAAACCAATGTAAACTCATCTTTTGAGTTTACATTTTTTCCTCAAACTTACAAACTAAGACAACCATTTATAAACCAAAAAAAATTATCATACAAGTTTTTATGACAATTTTTTAAAATTTTTGTAAATATAAACTAAAAACGAAATAGTTACCAAACAAGCCCATAGTGTACAGATAATTTTTTTTTTAAAGATTATGGCAAAACTTGGTTAGCATTCAAAAATTTTTTATTTTATTTTAAGAAGGATGGTCGTTAACTGCATTTTTTCCTAATGTTTATTTATTGCATAACACTATATGAGTAACTCTTTTTTATTTAAAGTGTTTATATTCAAGTAAAAAGTGTTGCTAGTAATAATGGTTTTCAATAAAAATGTGACTGCTACTCATGTTTTACCATAATTTGGAAATAAATTTTACCTGTACATTATTTAGTTAATTTTGAATTAAAAAAACATAAAACGGTTCAAGTCTGGAGTTGTGATCCTCAACTTCACTTGAAAGGAACTGTTGAGAAATGTTGTTGAAATTGGATTTGTAGAAAAAATAAATAATTAAATAAAATAAATTACAATAAACTTCTTAAATTAGACCTATTTGCATTTTGTCTCTTAATTTCAAAACTAACCATCTCAAATTATTATCTTATTACATTTAATACTTTCTGTTAGGATGTTGTTCTGGGATTTAAACGAAATTGTGAAGCGCATTACATACTTACTATTTTTTTAGGACGATAATATATGTTATTAATGTTTTTAAGACAATAATATCATAATCTAGTGCCCATTTGCACTTTGCCTTCCATATCTTACGCTCTGTTTGGTTTGACGGAAAATATTTTTTGAAATATCTTTTTCGTATTTTCTCGTGTTTGATAAAATAGAAAACGAAAGTCAACGGAAAATATTTTTCATAGCCAATGGAAACAAGCCAAAGAAAATATTTTTCACTTTTAAAAGGCAGAAAAACGTTTTTTGGACTAAAATTTTACTAATGTGGATTCTTATGTACCCATGTGCTCAGAAAATGAGGGAATTGGTAAAGAAGTCAATGTTTCTGACAATTTTGATTTATTGAAATAAGAATTAGCCAACCTAGTTAAGTAAAAAGCCCAAATCTAAGGAGAGATTGAAGAAACAAAAAGAAAATTTGAACATTTTTATGTACTAATTAAACAAAAAATTCATCTCCATATACCCAAATAGTCTTCGCAATGTTCAATTACTTGGATTTTTCTTTCACTAGGCTCAATTAACTGGAAGGTTTTGGTTATGTTGGATAATGTTGGTCCACATTCTTATGTCTTTTCTTATCCTACATTTTCCTAGAAACCAAACAGAGCTTCTTTTGTTCTCAATTTTGATTCCTTTATCTATTCCTACATTTTAATGCCTCTGAAGTGGGATGTCAATTGTTTAGTTCTTATTTTGTTCTTGTCTGTCTCATTTTCTCAGCAACCAAACAGAACATTATCAATTAGTCTTTAGTCCCTGAAATCCCTAAGCAATCACTTCAATTAAAATCTAATTCTTTGTGCATTAGTGTACTTTGCGTGTTAAAATTCTATAGCCCACTATGAAATTCAATGCCTTCAATGAGGAAGATCGACTTGGCAAGCAGTGGATTACATTAAGAGGCAAATTTGAAGAGAACAAAACTATAAAAATCGAAGCTTTACGTGGGACCTCATTTCACATGATCTAGCATTATCACAATAACATATGTAATGTTTTAGTTTTTCAATGAGTTGTTAATAGCTTTCTCTTTTTTTGTAGACCTTTCAGTTTGGAGTATTTAGTTTTTGGCTGGTGACAAGCTGAATTGATTATTTATTTCTTGTTAAAATGTTTTAGGAGTATCTCATTGAATTTTCTGAGTTGTTCATCTCAAGATAAAGCTTTTAGTAAATATGAATTTTTTTTCCCAACCCAATTCTACTTCAAATTAATTTGAGAACCCAGTTTGGAGTTGACTGAGGGCAATGAGGAAACTAGTCTCTGACTAATAAAATTTTAGATAGTAGGACATTGTATGAATACTTTTCATCTTTTTATGGTTTACTGATTGGGCTAGTTTCATGAGAGTCCTTGTTCACTTTGTTTTTTCATGACTTCTTCCTAATCAAGCATAAATGTGTCAGTCTGCAAACTTGTGGTTTGGTCATGACTGTGTTTGGTTTTTTATTTGGTTGCTGTTAGGGATTTGGATAATAAACTTCAGAATGCACTTTTTGACATCTTGAAGGCAAGGGGGTAAATGATGACCTTTCTGTTTTCTTGCATGAATATATGATGAACAAGGATTGAATTAAGATTATTCAATGGTTGAGAAAAATTAAAACTTTTCGAGGAGAAATAGGGGACTACATATATATAATATTTCTCCTTGAGAGGATTTAGAAAAACAAAACAATGTTCTTATTTTTTCCTCCACCTTAGGAAGGAATAGGGACCATAACCTTTTAAAGGTTGTAATTGGTTTTCATAACTGAAAGGTAATGAAAACCAATAAATTAACCATTATTGGTTTAAAACTGAAAGGTAATGAAAACCAACTTTAACCAATATGTTTTAATTTCTATTTCTGCCCCTCATAGAAATAGAAATTATACAACTAGTATCTACACATTAGGGCCATAACACATATACCCTTAAGCCTATTAACTAAATTGAATCACTTAAATTGTAAGCTTCTTATAAATGATAACACCACATTTAATTATGTAGTCCCATTGAGACATTATCTAACAGAAAAATGATCTGTGAGCACCCCCAGCCACCGTTAGAAAAATGTTTCTCCCCCAAACACCATAGCTGCGTGATAAGTAAAAATCTAGAGAACCACTCTTATCTATTGAGAAAAATTTGGGATTATATGATGGAAAATAATTTTTTTAGTATGGAATCTATGTGAGGTCCATGTAAAATGTGGTGGAAATTAATTTATAAGTAATTTCTAAATTGATAAGGGTGGATTTGTAGTATTCGTGTGATAAATAAGTGGAAACAAACGGCCAAAAAATAATTCGGCACATTAGTGGCTAGCTCATGCCAGAGCAAGGTATTCTAATTGGTAAGGATGATCATAGATTCGTCCAATCTGTCCAACCCGATTAAACTGACCCAACCTAATTGATTTTGGGCGGATGCGTATTTTTTGATGGATGAATACGGATGAAATATTTTAAAATTCGTAAATACGATTTGGATGATGGATCTACTATCTCGCATCTACATGAATCCGATCCGCCCAGGGCCCGCCCTGAGATTTAGGGGGCCTAAGGCAAATTTTGAAAATTGGGGCCCCTCTTACATTGAAAAAAAAGGGTTCACGGATAAAACGATAAGTTACAACTTTTTTATTTGTCTGTAGTCACAAAAAAATTTACTTGCACAAATAATTATTAAAATTATAAACAAAACAATTTAATGAAACAAAATTAGGGCAAAAAAATTAAGAAAAAATCATTAAAATTATATTTTTATTTTAATAAATATGGGCCAAACTACACTTATAAATAAATATAGGATAAACCATATATGGAGCCAACAAAATATTTTGGGGCCCTTTAAATAGATCCTTAAAAAAAAAAAGGGAAATTACCCATAGGTCCCATGTGGAACATGTGGACACCATTTAATCCCACAACTTTTTGAGTACACCCAAAAGTCCTTTCCCCTCTCTCTCTGCTTTTTGCTTCCCTCTTTACGCCTCCTCCTCTAACCCTAATCTCAGTCCTAAAGTCAAACAAGAAGGCGATGAAGAACAAGAACAAGAAGACGATGAAGAACAAGAACAAGAAGACGCTCATCCTCAGATCTGTACTTAGATTGAACAGATTTGTGTATATATCTTTGTCAATTTCTCTCTCTTTCTCTCTCTATTTACAGATTTTTTTTGGGATAGTTGTTGATCTATGGTTGTTGTTGTTGATGATGAAATAGATCTATAATATCATTGAAACAGATCTGTAATGACTCAGATTTGTACAGATATCACACAGATTTGTAATGAGAAAATTTTCAAATTCTGAACAAGTAATTTTCGAGTTTTAGTTACAGACGGTGAAAACTGTAAAATTTTGCAGTTTCAAATTTTTTTTTTGGTACTGGAATGAATCATGGTTTAAAACTGTAAAATTTTGCAGTTTTATGACATTTTTTAGAACTGTAAAATTTTACAGTTTCATAACATGTTTTAAACATTCCGACGAGTCTCCGGCGACCGTTTGACGGAAGTCCGACGGTAGTAAGATATGAACAGTGTCTGTAAATTAAAAAAAAAAAAAAAAACCCTCTTTCGTAAACAAGTATCATCTCCTCGCAATCATCAGAGTAGCCAATCAGAGTCACAAGATGTGTGTGCCTGAGCTTGGAAAGCGTCTTGATCTCAGTCCAAAACTCTGCTGCCCCTTGTTTGGACTCTGCATTCGACCGCTTAATGGCGACAGTGGTAGCTCCACCGTCGATGAACCCTTTATACACCTTACCGAATCCACCTTTCCCAATGACCAAAGTATCATCGAAATTGTTGGTCGCGGATTGAATCTCAACAAATGAAAACCAACGGCACAATTCGTCGGCTTGATACACGCCGTTTGTAGTTGTATTCCCACTGTCAAAAGCTGGCATATTTCTCAGATTTGGATCCCTACACGATCGAATATGTGGTTAGCACACCGGAATTGGACTGGCAATCAACCGATAGAATGAGACGATGAAGGAAGATAAGAGTGGAGGGATGAGAGAAGACACGAGGATCACAAAAATGAACATATGGAAGACTCAAATTGGGTCTCTCCTCAGGTCAACAATGGTTGGCTGTGCTCCACGTCCACAGTCAATAACCTTGCTATTACTCCATTGAATTTCCAAGACAAAAGTGAAGATTCAATTTGACAAAATTGAAGACTCAATAAATGAGGCATGCCTAATGAAACAAAACAATTTGACAAAGTCAAGATTCAGCAGCCAACACATTTCGGGCAATAATTTGGGAGTATTTTTATACTCATACTTGAGTAGAGTGATATTGAGAAATACGCCATTGTAGCTCTATGAGAACTAGCTTTGTTTGATAGTGAAAATTATGTTCAACGTGACAAAATTGTATTCCCATTAAAGTGTTGTCAAAATTTGATTAACGTGATTTTTTATTGATATAAAGTATTTGATGAGATTTACACATTAAATAATTCGAATCATTGAAATGTGACCTGTTGTAGACCTAATAGTACGCTTTAGTTTACTATGGAAATTAGACAGAAGTCTCTCCCTTAATTTTATATTTTGCGGGAAACGTGTGAGGGTAGGCAGCATCAACGTGGGGCAAGTTATCCTGTTTTTTTGTTTGGGAATTCTTTAGGATAAGATCATAGAATTTTCATCTTAATGTATTAACTAGCTATTAGTTTTATTAAATTTAACTTGTGAAGAAATTTTTAATTCTTTTTTTCATAAATTTAAGGGTAAATTACAAATATACTCTTAGAGATTTGCTTAAAATACGAATTACCCCCTATGGTTTGGAAAATTACAAATACCTTCTGTACGAGGGGCGAAATATCCTCTGTTTTCCGTACTCCTTGTACTCCAAGCTTCTCTTGACGGCGTCTACCTGGCAACACAGAAACGGTGAGCTGCCCGGCGGTGGTGTGCCGGATAGACCTTTCGACGATCAAGTCAGTCCACTTGAGGAAGAAGAAGACTGTTAGAGAGAGAGTATTCTCTTTGGGGAAAAAGTTGCATACCTCTAACGTTCACCTTCCTCCACTATTTCTAGGTTGGCCATGTAGCCCCAAGATCGTGCGTGTACCACCTCTGTTGTCCTTCCCTGGACAGGTGGCAGCGCTTGCCTCCCACCACTTTACGCGTGTAAAGATTTCGTCCTCCAACCAATACATGCGAAACTGCCAAATGGTATTGGTGCATGCATGGAGCAGATGTCCTCTTCCTCACGCCATTGGCCCAGGTGGCACACTTAACCGGAGTACCACGACCAGCTGGTTCCTTGTGGAGAATTGCCTCCTCGAACACATAACCGAGCTAATGAACGCCGACCTGCCCCTTGGCAAAGGGGCCAAAGTGTTATGCTCATGGCCGGGCTATTTATGATCGGTCCCACCTGACTGAACGGCCATGAAGCACGCTGGACTTCCACCGTTCTTCATTCTTGATCACATGAAGCCCGTCCATCTCGGCTGATCGGTTAGGCGCATACCGACGCTAATCGCATCTCAAATCCAGTCCGGGCTGCTCTTAGCTTGGTCATCAGACACTGTTGCGCACTCGGCCGTGTCATAGCTCGGCCAGGCATTGGTTCGTGTCTGGCCGGTCGACCTCTCCGGCCGTGCAAGTCAGGCCGCTGGGCCGAGCAAGTGAGGAGTCTGCTCGGCGGAGTGCGGTTCGTCATGATCGGCGTTATCGTGGCTCGGCCGTACTAACGCACAAATCTCCCATATCAATTGCCCCTTAACCCCATCCGACCTAGTCGTGATTGGGGTTACCATCGTGACCGAGCTAACGGATGAGTTGTGCCATTACCAAGCCGAGCATGATTGGGGGCATATTTATCGCCGAGCTGTCCCGTTTGGTCGGCCATTTCCTCCTCAGTCTCATCAAAGGTCGTATAGCCGTACTGACAGCCGCGTTTCCAGTGCCACGTGGCTTCACGCCATTGGGTCGTGCAGCCAGCTGTTCTGCACGCGCAGAATTCAAACGGCGCAGCCGTTTGGGTTCCTTCCCCCCTCTTTTGTATTCCAACGAAGGGCCTAAAACCCTTCACTTTTCACCTTCTCTTCCACACAAACCCTAAACCCTAGCTTCCATATTCTCTGAGAAATTGCCCTCACTGCCACTGCATCTCACCTGCTTCCGTTCCTATTTTTTGTTTCTCGTGAGGTCACAACCAAGTTCGAGAGGCCCTGCTCTTGCATCTGGTATTTGGTAAGTCCTCCTACCCTTCCTTCAAACTCTCGTACACAAGTTCTTCAAGTTTTCCACTTTTTTGTGCTTGTATTCTTCATGTTTATGCTTGGGGCCATTAGAGTTGCTTTCCCTTGCTTAGATCTTGCACACCCTAGGGCAAACAAAAACAGTAGGAATGGATGGGGCTTTCGTGCCCCTTGTTTCTCTTGGGTTCGAACGAGTTCGTCCTATATCTGGGATGAACAGTTTGAATCTGAGTAGAACCGAGCTAAACGCTCGTTTAGATCCATAAATGACACTACGGCCGAGCAAAAAACTGGTTTGTGGCTTTTTGTAGAGCCTGTAGCCGAGCCGAACTACCAATTAGACCGGTAATAGAACTGAACGGGGCGAAAACTTGAGGTCGTTACTTAGGCCTTGACCGAGCTAAAGGCTCAGTTAGTTCGTCAAATAGGACCCGACCGAGCTATAACTTTGTTAGGATCTCCTTCTTGGACCTTGACCGAGCCAGAAATGGAGAGTTAGAACTGAACTAGGAAATCGACCAAGTAGCCTAGCCGAGGTAGGGGTTGAACCGGCCAAACACTAATAATCCCTTCAGTGAGCCAATTCCCATAGGGGCCGCGCAATTTATGCCGTGCTAACCCTTGGAATTATTTTTTAACATGCAGAACAAATAGGACCGACCAAGCCAGTCCAGCACTATAATTGGTGGAGCTCAAAGTCCGAGCAAACACACCAACATTTTTGTCCGAGATACAAGTTAGTTCACCAAATAAAACCGAGATAGATGGGCAAGTACCGATTCATAGTGAGCTCGCCCGGTGCGATGGCCGAGTTTCGTAGGGAGTATAACATCCCAGATGACGTCATCTTAGAACTCGCCAAAAAGGGAGACACCCATTGGGGGGATCTAGACCGGTGCCCCTTCACCGTCGTATCAATAGTAGAGGGAGGGCTCCGCTTCCCAGTTCAACCCTTGATCTGCGAATTTTTGAGGCAGACAAGGCTTTGCCCAACCCAAGTTTCCAATAACACTTACAAAATAATAAACGGGGTCGCCGAGTTGAACCGGAGGCTCGGTCTCAATCTCAGTTTGGCCGAAATTTTCCATCAGTATAATCTAAGTAGAAATAAGAGTGGGCTTTACTGGTACCTCAAAGTCAAGAAGGGCCGAGCAAAGCTAATAGAGGGCAACCCGGACAAGGAGACCAACGACGACGACTTCTTGTGGGTGTCCAGTCGCTATGAGGACACCGAGGCATCCATACTAGGATGGTATATTAGAAAGGATTTTGGCAGTGCCGGTGAGTCGCTCGGCTGACCGCGCTATTTTCTTTATGCATCAATTACTTTCCATGCCGATCTAACACTTGTCTTCTTTTTGCAGATAAGCACCTAGCAGCAGACTACCACCAGGCCAACCAAGGGGCCATCAGAGCCCTGCTGTGCCATCCTGCCGAGGAGAGGGAGGCTTCGAAACTGCTCGGCTTTGAACAGACATACCACTACACCGCACCGCGCAAGAGCCGGGTTACCGACTTTCTGCGTGCGCCATCCCCAGAACCAGATCCAAACCTATCACCGATCAGGCTTGTTCCACTCACCGCCGAGCAAGAAATGGCGAAAATCAAGTCCATGATTACTGGTGAGGAGGGCGAGTCCCAACCACCGGAGGCAACCGAGAGAACATCATCCGCACCTGCCGGGCAGAATAAGAGTGCGGTATTGGCCCTCGCCAGCGAACAACCAGCTGGCCGGTCAAAGAAAAAACCGAGGAAGGACCCGGCCGGGCAAAGCCTCGCTGATGAAGACTCCACTGAGCTCGTCGCCACCGAGCTGGGCGACCAGATCGAACAACCATTGGGCGGGCCTTCCAAATTCCCGAGTTCCCCCCCGGTCTGGGCGCCCGAGATAACGTACAAGGGTCGAACAGTCTCGTCTGCTGATTCGGTGTATGTTGACAAGGATTACTCCCTTGGTTTCAATATGACCAAGGGGCTAATCCTTCCAGCCGACATGAAAAGGCACGACGAGCTGTCCGATCTGAAAGTGCTTCGCTCGACAGCCAAGTCGATAGTGCTGGTAAGTTTTTCAACTTGTCTTCTAGTCATTGCTCGGTTTCTGTTCGGTTGCCTTGGTACTCATGATCTCTCATTTGCTTGCAGGCCACGCAAAAGAATTACCTTGCCCACGAGCGTATGATCGCCGTGCGGCAGAGTCTGTGTGACGCCATCGCCGAGAATAAGGCCCAAAAGGCCGAAATAACAAAACTCAAGGCCGCGCAAGAAGCGGTCGCGGCGGAGCGAGACATCCTGAGCCAAAAGGTCGACCGAGCTGACGAAGACAAGCAACGGGCTGTGAAGTCGATGAAGGCTCGGTACCTTGCCGAGCTGAGGAAACTACGCGATGCCAACAAGGTAGCCATGGACAAGGCGGTCGATGATGCCGAGGATCGGAGATACGCTCAGGGCGAGAAGACTTACGAGCGCTAGGTCCAAGCGACCAAGGACATCTTTTTCCAGTGCGATTGGAAAGTCGCCGTGGAAAAAGTTGGCCTTGGTCAGGACGCTAACATGTTCCTTAACCCCCCTACAGCCTACATCCCGGTCTATATGCAGGCGTACGCCAGTGCTACCCAGAACCGGCTTATCGCTGAGGCAAGGAAAGAGGCCAAGGAAGAAGCCGCCGCCGCGCAACAAGCCGAGCAAACCACTACCGAAGCATCCCAACATGCGGAAGATGAAGTGGCTGATCAGGAGGTTGTTGTGGAGGATGGAGCTGACGATGACGCCGGGGAAAACCTGCCCGAGCAGACAACTGAGATCGCCGAGCAGACGGTGGAGGCAGCCGAGCAAACCGTGGACCTTGAACTGGACTAAAGATCTTCCTTGTTTTGTTTTTGTTTTCTCTTTTTTTTTTGGATGTAACG